TCATTTCAGAAGATAGCAAAAATATTGATAGCATAAGACAGTCACGGCGTTCCATACACGTGTGTTTCAATCGAGCTGAAGTAAATTACATTATCAAAGAAAGTACAAATGTCATCAAAATAAGCGTTTAATTATTGTTATGTTTAACATTTTTATGTACGTATTTACTTTCGTATAAGAGGTAGGTCCATCGCAGCGAAAATGGAGCATTAGGTCGCAGAAGCAATGGATAATTATGGCTTGCAATTTATCTTTTCGCTGTAACCGAGTAGTTCAATACCGAGTTATGAAACGTACTTTAATATAAGGTCGTCGGTTCAGCGCGATCATCCGATCCGGTTTGCCAAGTACATCCACCGATCGCAATTCGTGACTTTTCATCTGTGAACCCCGCAAGATCTATTTCACTTGTTATAAACCCTTAACCTTTATTGAAAACTTCAAAGTTAGTCCGAAGAAGTGACTAGTGATTATGAATAACAAAGGAGTACACCTGACGACTATACATACGAGTACATCTTTATTTAAGGTCGCCAGTGACATGCATACATAGTCGTCAGATGGATGTAAAGTCGTCATGGCATTTTTGCTGATTGTATGCGTGCGTTCGTGCGTGCGTGCGTGCATGTGTCTATATGTTGGGGGTGGCTGTTTTGTTTGTTTTTTTTTCTTTTTTGTTTGGGGGGGGGTGTCTATTTTTTTGATAAATGTACATGATATTGTGTAAATAACAACTCTGCACATTTACACTGCTGAAACGGAATTTAATTTACCAGCATAGAGATACATATAAGCCAGGATGCACATCCGTGCAAACTGAACCGGCTCTGTACTTATGGTTGACTTACTTTAGAAATTTCTATCTTAATATTCTCAGATTGATAGACAGTTCTTAAAAGATGGAAGCTTGAAAAGTGTATTTTACAAATTCAGCATTTTGAGATTAGGCTTGCAAATATGTACAGTCTTAACATTGTCAGAATTGTCGGCTGCTCTAGTCTCTTTGCATTTTTGCAGCCAATTACATTACCCTTTCTATTACAAGTAGGAAAAGCACTGGTGTACAGCGTTCACCGGAAATAGTCCATCAAAACACTGAAAATGAAAGTACATGTAGTAAAAAGGCTCACATCAAATTAACCAAAGGTAATGTTTTATCTTATTTCTCCGTCATAATAGCATTGGTTTTTGTGATGCTTTTTGTGCAGTATTTGCTTTTCTCTGCAAATTGAATACTTTTTGTAAAATTGGCGATAAAGTGTAGCGTATTTGTTGACACTAAATCAAGCTTAAAACGCATTTGCTGTTTGAAATTCCGTCTTTTATACAAAATATGTCTTCCATTACTTGAAAATTGAGTTGTCACCGTTCAACTAGAACTGCGATAAGCAAACTGCGACAAACGGCCTTCCCAGTGTACAGAGTCCAGCAAGAAAAACAAATTTAAGTGAACGGGATGCAGTGGTTGAATGTACAGGGTTTAGTAGAATGTGTACGCAGTCTACTTATTTCCGGTGAACGCTGTATGACAGTGCAAGTCGAATATGCTCTGAGGTAATATTTGCAAACAAAGTGTGAAATATATCTCACATATTGAAATGCCTTTTAAACGTTTTTGAAACGTTTCTGTTTTGCAAACTATAAAATCATTACCGGGTATATTATATACATAAAATGAAAAGTAGAAAAAACTGTAAACTCAAACTTCCCAGGAAATTATATATACATGTATATATATGATCTGTTTATAATTTCATAGCGAATTTAAAAACTGATACCCGCTTGGTTTGCGTTACTATTGTTGTATATGCACCATTTCAAGAAATACCTGTAAAAATTAGCCTCCTTATCAACAATAAGAAAGATAGTCTGCCCTTTAATAATAGAGAGGACAGCTCCTTGTGCCTTTCTCGTAGGAGAAAGGGAATGATGTCTTTCAATCCCAGCAAATGTGAAGTCATACACATCACCAAGAAAAGAAGCCCCATCATTTATGCTTACAAGGTCCATCAATCAACTCTTCAATCTGTCAAAAGTGGAAAGTACCTTGGTGTCAACATCGCTAATAATCTTTCATGGAACATACATACAGAATCTACCATCAAAAAGGCCAACAACTCTCTATCATTCCTCAGAAGAAACATCACAAGCTGCCCACAAGACATCAAGGCCCAGGCCTACAAGACCCTTGTTAGACCAATCCTGGAGTACGCAGGCACAGTCTGGGACCCACACACAGCCACCAACATCAACCAGCTTGAAGCTGTCCAAAGGCGAGCTGCCCGATTTGTAAAAGGCAACTACAAAACTACCAGCAGCACCACTGCAATGATGGCAGACCTAGGCTGGCCAACTCTACAGCATCGCCGCTCCAATGCCAAGCTAGTGATGGTCTACAGGATCACGCACAACCTCATAGCCATCCCAGCAGCACAGTACTTCCACCCCCTGACACTTGGTGGCCATGGCTATGGACACAGATTCCATGTCCCATTCTGCAGAACAGACACCATGAAGTTCTCCTTTGTACCTTCGGCCATCCGCCTGTGGAACCAGCTTCCAGAGCACCTAGCCACAGCAGTCAACCTTGAGGCCTTCAAGGGAGGACTAGTCATGGGGCCCTAATATGCCGGAGTTGATTTTATTTTTAACATGTTCTTCTTTTAAATCTGCACTTATTCGCCGCACAACACTTTGTACATACACCCTGTACGTCAATGCTCCAGAGTGGGTTATGTACAGTATTGGAAGAAGAAGAAGAAGAAGAAACCTGTGATGCGTGCATGTGGTCGCACGGTCACTTTCCTTACAACATGTCCTCGATGCATATATGTGGTCGCATGATCGAACATCTCAAATATAATGACAACATTTTCAAAGTGTTTTTGTACTAAACAGTTTGGTGCAATACCTTAATTTTCTAAAAGAAATCTGTTTAGCTCATATAAGGAGTTTTAAAAACCTGATAAGGAACTTTCAGTTTTATTTAGGAGTAATAAAAGCCTCATTAGGACTTTGATACTCATAAGTAGAAGAGATAAAAAAACCTTATTAGAACTTTGTTTCTCCCAGTTTCAACAAATTATGAATGTTTACTCATAACAGGGTCTTTCAAATAGAAATTTATTTGAAATCTATTTGAAAGACCCTGCTCATAATAAGGAGAAATAAACCTAATTTTAACTTTGCAAATCTTAATAAGGAGACATAAAATCTTAAAAATGACATTGTAAGTCCGTATGAGGAGATTCAAGAGCCTATAATTTGAGTAAATATAATAAGTTTTAGAAACTAATAATTTGGACATGCAAGGTCCTTATTATTTCTAAAAGTTAAATTTCCGTCTAACGTTTTGCCTTAGCAACTTCTTTCACCATTTTTCGTTTTACTTCATCGACCTTTCTTTGTTGCTTCGCTTCTTTTCTTCTTCTCGCCTTTTTTCTTGCGTTGCGCCTCTTCTTCTTGAAGTGTTGCTATTTATCCTTGATTTCTGCTGCCAGATGACAATAAATTTCAAATCTGGAAATCCCTGAAAACCGAAAACCCGATAGAAAAAATGTCATATTATCATAGGCGATGTAGCTGCCCTGCAGCGTTTTCACAGCAGTGGACCGTTATATGCTCAATGGTGGCGACAACAAATGGTACGATTGCTAGTCTTAGGGACGACCAGAATGCTCAAAGAGAGAGTCATGATATACAATGGACATTGATTCAGCGTTGTGAAGTATACCTTCGTCGCTGTCAACAATACATATTCTTGGATAATCGGTAGCATATACTCATCTGTTGATGTACCGGACGCGTGCATGTTTTCGGACACCGTATTACGTCCATGGCTTAAGCAATGTACTCATTTCAATCAAAATCACCAAAATTTGATGTTTGCTGCACGGGGGATTAGGAGAAGTCTAGGACATACGATTCCTCTGGTAAAAAATCACATTCTTTTTCATTCTTTTCGATAGAAATGCCAGTAAACTAACGAAACTTAGCATTTAGCTGATAGTTCATTTCATTAAATGTCAGTTTCTGCACTTCATCTCGGAAGAAGGGACTAATCGATAGCATTGGAGTCAAGGGGATTAATGCCATATTTTCAAAAGCCCTCTGTGATATATCACATTGTGAAAATATTCTCAAATATAAGTTTAAACAAGGCACCGACATTTTTCTCAGCGAACCACAAGTCCGATTTAGTCTTTTTTGCAGAGTTTATGAATTAAGAGGGTTTTAATTTTTGTCTTACGGAATTCTGCTACGTCAAATGGTTGGGTAATGTGGGAAGTTTTTGGCGGAAGGGAAATGATATCGTTTGCAATGGTAGATCGAATTAGCGGGCCACTCATTTGACAAGTTAAGAAGCAATGGGCGGTATTTCACCGCGTTTGCGGGTTGAACTTTCTCAAACCAACTGTTTATAGGGTCTGTGGTCCATGAAACCATTTTCGGAGAATATGTGACTCGCATTTATTGGCCCCTGACGGTGATAAGGCCCACCAGGCAAAATTTTGCTGAATATATTTTCATAGGCGATTAAACTACATTTGCAGCGTTTACACAGCAGTGGATCGTTATATGCTAATTAGTGGCGAATAAACAAAGAATGTACATGTTTATTTCGGACCGAAAGTATTACTTTCTGTCATGCCTTATTAAGGAACAGGGCCGCCTCATCACATACATCTTGGCTTTCACAAGAGACCACAACTTTCTAGTGCATCTTTAAGCAAGAGGAAAAAAATCCTGTGACGCCTCAACATTTGATTTAGTTGCGTGGCCTTTGACCACTGCATTTGGTAACGTCATTTTGCTTCATATGGCCAGTTTTAATTCAACACTTAACTTAATTTAAGGAATTTAAATCTCACTTTGAAGCAAAAAAATGAAATTTTGAAATTAAGTTATGTGATAAAACACTTGTATAATTAACAAGTCAATTTCATTTACATTTACTAAAGTCAGAAAATGGTCATTATCAAGATAATGTCAGATAAAAAGAACGTTATGTTAAGTTGAATGTTTATAACAGACATTAATAGAAATGTAACATGTGTATATATACGGATTCCTGACTCACTATGAGTAGGTGTATCCAGTAAAATGTTTCAAACATGAAGTAAAACTCGATTTTTATCCGTTGCTAGGATTAAGCCATAACTTCTGGGGAACTCTATGACCAACGTGATTAATAAACATTGTTTAACTATCCCACGTGTTTATAGAAGATCCTAAGATTCGTATATCTATTCAAGTTTCTGTAAGCACCTAATGATTGCCATCAACACTCCACATAGTAATGACACTCCAATGGCGATATAGAACGCTAAATCATATCCACCAGTCCAGTCAGCAACTAATCCACCAAGGTATCCGCAGACAACTATCCCCACCCCACTCAAAACGTTACATAGCGCTACTGTCCGAGGAAACCTTTTAATTCCACGCAGTTCAAGCTGCATCCCTGGTATCAAGCACATTACCATTCCTATAGAAATTCCACGAACAAATATTCCACCTAACATTCCGTAGAAGTCTATAAAGTAAACAACGAGGAAATGGGCAAGTGCAAGAAACACGAAAGATATTGCCAAAGGTATTGCTATCTTAACTTTCGCCCAAATTTTCAGTAAAGTAGTCCCAAGCAATCTTCCGCACAAGCCGAAGGCACCGACTAGTGATAACAAAATAGTTCCTTGTTGACGGTCAAATCCTCTAAGTTCACTCAAATCAACTGTAAACCAACTCTCCACAGCACTTGTTCCCGGAAATATAAAACACACAACTACAAAAAGTATATAAGCAATATCTTGTTTTGAATTACATTGACACATCTTCTCCTTAACCGGATCTATTTTTGAGCTTTGAGTAGTTTCTTTCGAGAAAAAATCTTGTGAAAAATGTAAAAGTAGGCCACATGGAATACTGTTGAGGATAAGCCCGCCAAATATCATAAATGCTCCAGTCCATCCATATACGTCTATCAAATAGTCGGCAAAATTAGGTAAAAATGTTTGTCCAACGGCAGTTGCCATTGTAAGGAAAGCAAGAGCAGAACGTCTGTTTGAAACAAACATCCAACCTACAGCAACGAATGCACATAAGTAGTTAATACTCATAGCCAACCCTCCAACAAATCCCACAAGTACAATAACCATATAGATATTCACCGAGAATGCACTGAAAAACACTGCCAGGCCACTTAACACCGATGCAATCATAACAGGTGCACCTACTCCTATTTTCGTCACAATGCCCGAAAATAAGATCCCTCCGACGTAAGTGAGTCCTTGAAACATACTTTGCACGATAGCCGTTACTGATCGCGCAGAATTAAATTGACGTATAAGTTCCACGTATATTACTCCAAGAACTGGAGCAAATCCTAGTGACATGAAGTGTAAATACATGCATGCTATGAGAACAGAGCATTGACGCCATTTTGATGGCTGAATCCGAACTATCGTTGAAGATTCTGACAAAAGAGGTATTCTCTCGGAAGTCTCCATAATATCCCGATTAGACGCCATATTTTTATGTGATAGTCACAAGAGCACTATTTTTACTGCAACAATATCAAACTCGTACCATACACTGTTCTTGTATATGATCTTTGCCAGAATTGTAAAGTTTATAATTAGATATATTACAATACATCTTTATATAAACACACATGTAGTGATATACATTTATATATACGTAAAAATTGTAGAATTCATGTCACGTTCTGTTCAGCTAATAAGCAATATTTTGCAATAACCAAACGCTTATATTTAACCTGAAGTTTGTGATGCGATAAGATATGCAATTAAATTCTAGTGAAAAATTCTATATTTTTATTCCTTTTAAGGGAAATATCTTTTTTTAAAAATTACCATACACAAATATAAGCATACACAAATATTGGTAAGATCTAAATACATGTACATCGTTTTAAAACCACGCTTGTATGTACTGCATATTAGTCATAATCTATTTCAGCGTTTCATCATCCGGTCAAAATGAGGAACACTTCATGTTTCTGCATGCAATTTAATAAAATGGCATTACATTACATTGCATTGAATCACTTAATCATATGAACACGAATCTGTCATTTCAGTTTGTAGCATAATTTTTTCTATTTAACTGATTTAACTAGTTTATTTTTGTTTTTCTTCATTTTGTAAAAACAAAACATTTAATATGTAAAAAATATATAAAATCGGAAACAACATAAAAACGAAACATTCAAACAATAATGCATGGCCTGGACATTTGATTAATTTATGTTCATTTTCTTGATACATTTTAAACAAATTAATACGGAATTCCATAAACGACAGCCTACTGTTTACTGTCAACTGCCTACTGTCAACTGCTTCCCAGCAAACATGCATATATGGGACCCATATGGGCTATATCTAGGCAAGCCCATATGAGTATGCCCATATTGGACCTATATGGGACCAATATGGGCAAGTCCATTTGGGTACGCCCATATTGGACCCATATGGGTCCCATATTACAGCACTATAAGGAAAAACGATTTTTCGTTTATTTATTTCTTTAGAACTTGAGCTATAGTGTGACCACCTTGGCATAAATTGCTATTATCTTTTATAAAAATCGTAGCATTAACATATATACAAGCCATGAGGGACCCATATGGGTCCCATTCGGGCAACCCAATAAATATTAGCATGCCTGAGCAGGTGCGAGAAATTAATTTGTTTAGTTTTTATATTGGTTTTAATTTTTATAATCTAAATATAAAAATGTGTTTTTAGACTATTAATTCAGAAATAATTTATTAAAATCAGCATTTGATTAAAAAATTATTTCGAGCATGCGCAGACGTGATTTCCGCTGCCGCTTAATATCAAATTGTGTATTGAAACGTTAAATTGTAAAATTGTACACGGAAACAATATTTCATTTCAATTCGGAACATTTAACGACGATTTCGTATAACGACCTTTCATACAATATCCTTACAGATTTATTGTGTGTGTAGGTAAGTGTAAACGTCACTTCCGGTTCCGGTTTGGCAGATGGTCGCAATTCAGCATGGAGCTATAAAATTAAATCGTTCTAAGTTTAAATAACCCCCTCCCTACTAACTGACACCCCTAAATGAGTTTTTGAACTATCACTCTACGTACTAATCAAACAATTGTTGTGAATTTATCCTTATCATTGTTTAATCTGAAAAAGACTTCAAGAGCACATGGTTCGTCTGCTCAAGTTCAAAATGGCCGCCAATTATTTTTCAAATAAAATTGCTATTTTGAAGTATATATATTAATTATGGCAGGTAGAAGAAAAGGACTAGTTTCAAATAAGACTGCCAACAAGTCTGCCACAAGTGTTCAATCTACAAATGAGAAAAGTAAATTATCTGATGTAAATTCGGAAGATTTGCACAAGTCACATGATCATAGTTATAGCATAGCTGATGAAAATTCCTGTTCAATATGTAAGATTGAAGTCATCAATGATGGTATTCAATGTGAACTGTGTGATGGATGGTACTGTATTAGTTGCTCTGGTTTGTCGTCAAGCTTTTATAAGGAATTAACAAAATCTAAAATCAGTGAAAACATAATATGGTATTGTGATGGGTGTAAGAAGGCAGTTCCAGGTGTACGGAAAGTGCTCCAAATTGTTAATAACTTAAAAAGAATCACAGGACTCTATTAATCAAAAGGTTAAGCAAAGTGGAGGGGAAGATTAGACAAAATGCAAATGGAACAAAACTCTAACCTCTTAAATGAAATTAAAGTTGATCAGGCCATAATGGATTTCAAGGAGCGTGAAAAGAGAAAAAATAGTGCTATAGTATTTAGTCTCCCTGAAGCAGATGAAAGTTTTGAAGATTATGAAAATAGAGATCTTGAGAATGTTAAAAAGATGTGTGAATTGGCATCTGTTCAGCAAGGCATAAATATAATAAGGCTTGGTAAAAAAAAGTCAGGTCCTAGGCCCCGACCAAGGCCCCTTAAAGTAAGTTTTTCAAATGAAACTGAAAAACACAGATTTGTCACAAATGGTAAAATTGTCAAAAGAAATACTGAATTTAAAAATGTTATCATAACTCCAGACTATACCATGCGTCAGAGGGAACAGAATAATTTAATGAAGGCCGAAGTTGCCAAACGTCGAGAGATAGATCCCTCCTTCACTTTTCGAAAACTTAAAGATGAACTCTTTAAAAGAAACACAGATATGACAGGAAGTCTAAATAACAATTCCTATACATCTGAAACTCAAACATTAATGCATAGTTCCCCTTTAGGGGAAGGCTCCAGCAGGAGTGTATTTGCATAGACAGTAATAAAAACAGTTCGTGTTTACATAGTTCAAGTTTTGTTAATATTAATTTTTCTTCTTCTTTGAAACAAGTTTCTAGTACCTCTAGTAATGAAGTTGTATATAGTAAAAATGACTTTATCTTGAAGCATTCTGATTGCACTAATCATGATGTATCATTTGTTGTTAACAGTGTAAGTGCTATTCATGACACTTCTTCAAACATTTTATTAGATCATAAAATAGATTTTAGATTTGTCTTCTGAAGTGGATACAGATTATAGTGGTAATAGTATGGACTCTTTTTCTTCAGATAGTGATATAACAGATTCTTCAAATTCATCACAAACTACTGTTAACTTTAGTGTAGAAAATATTGATGGTTTTAAAATGCTTATATACCAATGCTGACAGTATAGCTAATAAATGGACAGAAATGGAAGCTCTTGTGTTTATACATCAGCCAGATGTTATTGGTTTAACGGAAGCTTTTTCTAAAACAGCAGATGTTATTGACTTGTTGAGTTATAATATTAAAGGATATCAGTTATTTTGCAATCCTAAATTTACTGACAAAGGTAACAGAGGAACCTTATTATTTATTCGCTTAGGTATAGGGGCATCTCTCTATGAAAGACTTAATAGCATTTCTTGTAAAGAAGCAGTATGGTGTGAAGTTGAAATTAATAAACATGAAAATATCTAATTGGTATAGTATATAGATCTCCAAATTCATGTGATATAAATAACAAAGAATTAAATACTATGTTTAGCTGTATAAAAGACAGTTTTCACAGTAGAATAGTTGTGATGGGTGACTTTAATTATCGTGAGATTGATTGGATCAACTGGATTTCTAATATGCCTGAAAATCATAGTAGTCATGAATTCATCGAAGCAGTACGTGATAGTTTTTTATATCAAATAGTGAATTTTCACACAAGATTTCGAAATGGCCAGAATCCTAGCACCTTGGACCTCATATTTACTAATGAAGAGTTTTTTTAATTGAAAAATTGGAACACTTTCCACCAGTTGGTAAAAGTGATCATATACTGCTGACTTTTAAACATTATATGTAATGTAGAGCAAATTGAAGAACCAAATAAATTGAACTTTATGTATGATAGAGGTGATTACGCTCTCCCATAAATTTTGAAATGAGTTCAATCAATTGGAGTATTGAATTTCAGCACAAAAGTCTGGAGGATAAATGGTTAATTTTTAAAGAAAAAATTCAAAATAGTGTAAATAAACACATACCTAGAAGAAATTTTAAACGTGTGTTCAATAAACGGAGGCCCTTGTGGATGACAAATATAGCCTTGAAAGCTGTAAAGAGAAAACATAAATCATGGAATAGATATCAACAAACAAAAGAACTTAGATACTATTTGAACTATTGTAACAATAGAAATATTGCAACAAAGGAATGTAGAAAAGCAAGGTCAGATTTTGAAAAGAAAATATCAGAAAATATCAGAAGGCTTTTTATAAATATGCAAACTCCAAGAAGAAAGTAAAAAGTGGTATTTCTCATTTAAAATGTGAAAATGGCACTTATACAGAAAGTGACCTAGATAAAGCTAATGAACTTAATAAATTCTTCAAAAGTGTATTTCAAATTGAAGATAACAACAATCTTCCAGATATTACAAATCGCAGTGGTGGAAATACATTAAATGACATTTATTTCAGTGGAGAAGTATTGTCTAAGCTACTTGAGAATTTAAATGTTAATAAATCTTGTGGTCCAGATTTGCTTCACCCAAGGGTTTTAAAAGAGTTGAGAAACATCAATTGTTTTCTCCTTTAACACTTATATTTACTGAATCTGTAGAAACTGGAATATTGCCTATGGATTGGAAGACTGCGAACATCAAAGCTTTATTTAAAAAAGGAAGTAAAGATTCACCAGGAAATTATAGACCAATTAGTTTGACATGTATACCCTGTAAATTGTTGGAAAAAATAGTAAGGAATAATATTGTAGACTATATGAATGTTAACAACTTTTTCTCTGCAGCCTAATATGGTTTAGATCGCTTAGATCATGTGCCCTTCAGTTACTAGAAGTCATGGAAAAGTGGACAGATTGGTTAGATGAAGGCAGAAATTTTGATTGTTTGTATTATGACTTTAAAAAAAGCATTTGATATGGTTCCACATTCTAGACTAATACTTAAATTGCAATCTTATGGTATTGGTGGTGCACTTTTATCATGGATCAAAGCATTCCTTACAAACAGAACTCAGTGTGTTGTTGTTAATAATAGTAAAATCTGACTATTGTAGTGTAACAAGTGGTGTTCCACAGGGAAGTGTTTTAGGACCAATATTGTTTCTATATTCATTAATGACATTGAAAGTCAAATTAAAAGTACCTTGCGTCTTGCGGATGACATCAAATTATTTAACCTGGCAAATGTAAATGAAGACTTTAACCAAATACAAAATGACAATGATAGTTTAATACAATGGAGTGAAAAGTGGTTAATGCAATTTAATGTAGACAAATGCTGTGTTATTCATTATGGACACAATAACACGGAACATCAATATTTTATGAAAAGTGACTTTACAACTAAACAATTGAGGTCTAGTGAGGAAAAAAGAGATTTAGGTATATTATATGATAAAGATTTGAAATTTCGACATCACATAAGTAATTGTATCAATAAAGCAAATAAAATAACTGGATTGGTCAGAAATACCTTCTTGCATGTTAATATCAAGCAATTTCGGAAACTTTATAAAAACACTTATAAGACCGCACCTTGAATATGGAAATATTATTTGGAGTCCAAGATTTAAAAAAGATATTGAAGCAATCGAAAGAGTTCAAAAAAGAGCAACAAAAATGGTTCAATGTATCAGAAATTTATCGTATGTAGAAAGATTAAAAATTCTGGAAATTCCTACTTTGGCTTACAGAAGATTTAGAGGTGATATCATACAAGCATGGAAATTATTAAATGGGAAGGAAGAATATAGATTATAATGTATTTTTTGAAAAAGCACAACTTGATAACTATCACATCAGAGGAAATTCCATGAAGTTGAAAATAAAATCATGTAAAAAGGAATTAAGAAAACATTTTTTCTCATTAAGAGTAATACCAGAATGGAATAAATTACCAAATTCTGTAGTATGTTCACCAACGCTGAATTCGCTAAAAAACAGACTCGATAAGGTTATGAAAAAAAAATTATATACTGTTATACCGGATAATAATCATTGGGTGTCAGACCTCGAGAGGGTTATAGAGATTTCTGATCTCGCGACCCTACGCTGGATAAAGTAAAGTAAAAGTCATTTATTTTTTTGTTTTTGCCTTTGCCATGTAATTTCGCGATAGTTTTTGTCAGTTTAATTTGCGACATTTTCTAGAATTTACGCCCACTATTAGGCACTTTAGCTGACCTATGGATGTGTATAGTTGTTTTTGTTGAATAACTTAACTGTGACGGAGTCGAACACTAACATTTTAATAATATTGTTTCTATCTAGACTAAATTTTAAGAGATCCTTTTTTAAAGGGACACCATCATTTGAAATCCAGTGACCCCTCCTAGCCTTAGAAGTCCCTTCCATTTTGTGTACCAATATTTCATTCATAAGCATTTTAAAAATATTAAATGCAAATACTTATTATTACAAATTCAAGTATTTTTTTCAAGTACCAACCAAGCCCTATGTTGCACAGGCACGAGTATCGGACCTGGGAAGAAAAAATATGACCCGATAGATAATTAAACCTGTGTTCATCTTTAAAAAGTCAAAAACCGAAAAAAAATTGTAAATTATACCGCCCTTTAAAAGCATACTTTAAGTTAAAGCGAAGGCCAGAAACTCCAGATTCGAGCCTGCAAGCAAGGGATTCACTTCCCGGGCCGTTGTGAAAACAATTGTCCAGACAATTAAAAAAATCTTTTATCACTTTCACGTTTGTATTAAGCTTCCAAATGGACCGACCCCAAGTCTTTAGCCTTCCCGTTCATGAAATATCTATCGGGGAAACAAACGCATTCGTGCTAAAAATCCTTGGTAGACAAAATTGCGGCACAACAATTTGGTACGTAAACATAGAATAGTACATGTTTGCCAGCCGGTCATAATCATATTGTCACTTGGCGCAATAACTCACTTAATGAATAATGTATTATATATGTATTTTATAATTACTTATTAATGTATTTTCATTTTATTGTAAATAGGCCATCAAAAAGGCTGTATGAATCGGATAGTGGCACTGATGAGAATGAGACAGACACAGAGAGTAGGCCACCACAAGTTATTGACCAAGCAACAACGCCCAAAGAGTCACAAAGCCTACTTTCATCTCCGCCTCGCTTATCTGCACAGGCATTGCGAGAGGCCAGCAGTGATGTGCAAAGTGCTTCTCCAATACAAGGTGCTTCTGATACACCCTTCCGTGGGCAGATTATTGGGCCCAGTAAGTATAAACTTCGGAGCTATAAATATATTTATTATTACAGTACATACTTATTAAATGTTATAATTATTCTCAAAACAAGTCAATAAATGTTATAACAAGCTGGATTGAGTGACACAGCCAAAAATGGAAAGTTTCACCTTGTGACGCCCCTAGTTCAAAAAAAAATATTCAAAAGAAATTGATGATTACTTGTGTTAGTCTTTATCATGATGTGAATTTGTGCGCATATTCTTGCCTGACCCCACTACTGTTATCCAAAGGAAGAGTCAAGAATATTAATTTTCACCAAATGACATGCCTAGGCTCAAAAATATGTTAAGTTTAATTCATGATTTCTTATCATTTTCACATTTTGTGACCTTGCACACTCAACAATCCTTTTGAGATTTTAGCGTTAATTACTGTTAAAGCCAAGGAAAAATTTAAAATACTGGATTTTTTTTCATTTGAGCCGGGTCATGACAAAACCAACATAATGGGTTTGCGACCAGCATGGATCCAGACCACACATAGCTTCTAAAAGTATATGGCCTAGAATTTATGAATCCTTTTTTTCAGCTGCTGTTACACAGATTCTCCGAGTCTTGGAGACAATGCGAGAGAAGAATCGTGAAATTAAGAGGATGGTGCAGCGAATGCTGTTAAGGTCAGCAGCAGATGACCAACCGCTGCAACTTCCGAAAGATATCTCATTCCCTATTCGTTATCCTGAGCAGATGGAAGCATTCGATAAGCTTCTGGAGATCAGACAATGCTCTCATCTGTGGTAAGCATAGTGTTAGTCATGTATGTTGCTCCATTAGTAACTGAAAAAGTATACCCCATATCCACTGGCCTAAAAAGCGAAATAACATAATGGTCTGTGGTGAGCACTTGATGATAATGTATAATCATTCTGCTATATTTATGTTGGAAAATATTGCACAGTGGACAAACAGTTTGCTGCATTAATTTCAGAATTAAAAACTGGCATGTTTTTAATTTTTTGATTCATATTGACACAGTTATGTTATTTATATATGCTATAATAGCCATGAGCACAAGACATGGGCAGTTGGCCTCGTTTTCAAACATTAATTATTAATTAGGACAAGACAGTCAATTCATTAATCAAAATGCTGGCAGCTTTCAAAATACCAGGAAAATGACTAGTACCCGCAAAATCCAGGAATTAAGCTGTTATTATATTATCAAAAATTATTCTGTTGATATTGAATAAAACTCTTGTAAAAAAAAACAATGATAATGTGCCCCATAACACTCGGTGGAGGGGACAAACATAAAGGCACAAGTCACTAAGGTGTTGTCCTAGGCTGTAAATATATGAGGAAAGATCTTTTAATTTGTCAATCCAAACAGTTTTTCTTGGCAGATCATGTTTTTGAGGTCCAGTTGACAATTATTTGTCATTTGGTGACTTGCAGCCCATCACTTAGTAGTGTTAAAATTAATATTAAAAAAAAGTTTATGTTCTGCTTTATTTAAGGTGCGGTTCCTCTCAATGTTTGGTATGGCAGAGATGTACGGGAAACTGTTGACAGCTTGATGAAAGAAACCATGTCAAATGAACTGGCAAGAAATGTACAATATGAAGTGGCTGAAGGGGGAAGAAAAAGTTTGTGGGCCTCTAGATACTGAATGTATTGTATAGGAAGTGATATTTTACAAATTTGCAAAGTGGTGTCTTCAAAATAGATATATTATCCAAGATCTTGTTATTGTGTCTTCGGGTATTGCTTTAATGAAGGAAAATGCTTGACTAGCTTTTATGGAAATTAATAAGAGAGAGAATATTTTACATGCTGTGTGGTTTTGATCCCATGCATTGTGTTTTGATGCATAATATAAACAGAAATCACCTTCCTGTAAAGCAAGTTATTTGCTTACCTTAACATTCTTTACTGATACACCGATAAGATGATCTCAGCTTACAAACTGACTGCAGCGATATCACAGAAATATTTTGAAAAGCTATGTAAAACCAGGAAACAAACATCTATATTTGGTAAAACATACCAGAATTAGTTTATATTCCAATTTATACTGCTCAAAATGCTACAAGGTGGCTTTATGACCTTTGAATGGTTTCAATACCTTCATTTCACTTCATTTCATTCTTTAAGGATAAGAATGCTTGTTTTGTAGAATGTGTCCAAAGGAACTTGCCGACAAAGGCTGCAACGAGGACGGATGTTGAAATAGAGGTTTCAAAAGTGGCTGGCTGGGGCGCGGACTGCGATGGGGGAAGGAAAGCAAGAAACAAAGTGTCAGAGACCTTACCTGAAAGAAAATGAAGGAAGTGACTAGACATGTTTTTAATTTAAAAATGCAAAATTTATAGAGGATATTGTTTGCTTGTGTGTAAGATGAAATTTTATATCATCAAGAGAGCTTTAAAAACAGTATTCTCATGAGTGGCTATGCGCTCGTGAGAAACACTGTTTTTTAAAGTTCCTTCAATGATATAAAATTACATCTTACACAACAAACAATAAAGTGTCTTTTTATTTTATGCTAATGAAATTTCCTCAATATTAACGTTAATATTAAATCTGTTTTCCCCACTGTTAACATCAATTTTAGTTGAATTTAAGTCCAATTTCTCATAAATACAGGAAGTCTTGGGCTGAAAAATAAAGTTTGACAATCAACGTTGAATAGCCATGATATTATTTATTGAATTCAAAAAATTTGAATGATGATAAAATCTTTAAAAAGTAGTCTCGTCATAAAAAGTTTGAAATTTTAATCATTTTACTGTGAAATTATCAAATATATTTTTCACGGATACATCAGTAAAAACACTCAAAGGCATAAAATAAATGACTTTTATTTTACATTTTCAAACCTTTACTTCATCTGCATATAAGTTATTCCACTGATTGAAAGTCAATATGTATCAAGGTATTTTTAAAATGTGATAAGGGTCAGAACTTACAGTAAGCGGCTCATTTGTTTATCTTGTTATATTTTTTGTTGCTAATTTTAATGTTTGAGGTCATCAGCATAGCATGTCTTTCTTGTAAATGCAAAATTCTTGTCTAGTCAAATTTTGCCTTCTAGTCAGTATATTCTGCTGCTATGTTATGTTTGTTGTTGACATTATATGCTGTTTTTCTGTTGTCTATATGCTGTTGTTTTTTTTCCATTAAACATTGTTACTGTACGGAGGAAGGTAGTGTAGTACTGGTGTAACTCTCCAGAAACGATGGTTAGGAAACTACCCGCCTATATGACGTAAAAGGCGTAAAATGAAACAAACAAACAAAAAACATTGTTACTATTTAAATCAAGACATTAAATGCTTGGGGAATGTTTTTGATACTGATCAATACAATTATATAACATCTTGTCAAAACTTGACACTGACAGGGAACACATGTATTGATATGGTATTAACCTTTAAATTAAGTTGAAATACTTTACAATGATGATTCTTGTAATCTTTATTGTTGTTATTGTTGAAACTTTGATAATATCGGAGAAATTACTGAAACCAACTATTTTTACTGACAATTTTTTTAATGAATTTCTTCACAACAAATTTGATCTTTGTGTAATATCACATTTTAATTATTATTGATTTTTACAAACTTGTACAAACTATTTTTTACTTTTCATCAGCTGCATATTTTGTTTACATGTCTATAAACAGTATTTCAATGTGCCAAGATTTTGTGTTTTATATTTGTTACTTTTCATTAGCTGCATATTTTGTGTACACGTCTATTAACAGAATTACAACCGTGCCAACCTTTTGTGTATCATATTTGTTACTTTAGCTGCATATTTTGTTAACACGTCTCTATAAACAGTATTACAACCGTGCCAACCTTTTTTGTATTACTTTTTGTTACTTTTCATTAGCTGCATATTTTGTTGACAATTACAACAGTGCCAACCTTTTTGTGTATTATATTTGTTACTTTTCATTAGCTGCATATTTTGTTAACACGTCTCTATAAACAGTATTACAACAGTGCCAACCTTTTTTGTATTACTTTTTGTTACTTTTCATTAGCTGCATATTTTGTTGACAATTACAACAGTGCCAACCTTTTTGTGTATTATATTTGTTACTTTTCATTAGCTGCATATTTTGTCCACACGTCTATAAACAGTATTACAACCGTGCCAAGGTTTTGTTAATTATATTAATTTTTTTTCATCAGCTGCATAATATTTTGTTTACACATCTATGAACAGTATTACAACCGTGCCAATTAAGGTTTTGTTAATTATATTAATTTTTTTTCATCAGCTGCATAATATTTTGTTTACACATCTATGAACAGTATTACAACTGTGCCAAGGTTTTGTTTTATTATATTTGTTACTTTTCACGAGCCTAACATTTTTTTCTTCAGCACTACCATACCAAAGTGTAATACATGGTTGTAATGAACAACTTTTTATATTAATTGATGTAGATCTATATCATTTGAAAATGAAAGTAATTGGTAGATAGAAATTTGTAATGAATTACAGTAAATGTATAATACTTTTTCTATGAATTATGTAGAAAGTTAAAAAGACATTTGGGGTCATACTGTTGATTCACTGAAATTTAAACATTATACACTTATATTTCTTGGAGTTCCAAAGACCTTCTGTAAAGTTTTACCAGTGTCTAGCATAAGATTAATTTTTCCTTATAGTGATCTGTAAGGTATCTAATGTTATAAAACTGCATTTTTAATTATTTTGTTCGTACATTATAAACAGTTTTCCATTACATGTTGCTTATTTAGTGTACCAAAGTAATATTTACTACATAGGACTTTTTGAAATAATAATTAATATTTCTGTATTTTTGAATTAAAAACTATGTAGTCAAAATGAAATGCTGTGGATTTACAAATATGTACAGTTTACTCGGATTTTTATATTGTACACTTTTCTAAGTTTATTTACATAAGTAAAGGTTTCTTTGTTGACATCAGGCGTCCACAGAATGTATTGAGAATCTGTATATATATATGATATACACTTACCATAAGTGAGATTACTAAATAAAGTTACATTGTTAAAGCATATACATTGTGTATTGTTTTCTTGCATGATCATAAAGGCTTTGTGCCATAATCTGTCTGTTCCAGGAAACAGAATGAGTTAAAACATCACTTGAATATTTAATGCAAGTACAAGAATCATGCCCTGTAGCAAGCGGTTGCTATCTTAACGTCCAGCAAACTTATAATTGAAGTAATTGAAAATAGATCTACCCAGAATTCAAAATCTACCCAGAATGGAAGTATCTGGGCTGCCCATTTGAAACCCATATTTAGTACAAGGGCTGCCATGTGGGGCCCATATTGTGTACATGGGCTGCCCAGATGGGGCCCATGTGAATCCCATATTGAGTATAAGGGCTGCCCAGATGGGACCCATTTGGAACCCGGTTGCACTTCCTATATGGGGCCCATATGGGCAGCCCAAATGGGACCCATATAGGTGCCCATATGGGCCCCACATGGGTCCCATATAGAATGCTATCTGGGTTACTGTCAACTGCCTACTGTCAACTGCTTACTTTAAATCTTAATGCTTACAGCGACTGTTTAATGCTTACTGTTAATTGATAAATGCCTACTGCTACACCTGTCTAATACCCGATTAATTGCCTGAAAGTAAATGTTGACTTTTTATGTCCTTCTTCCAATGTGTTTATATGTTACAATGAGGCCGTTTGAAACAGTATTGGTCAAGGAATTACTCAGTATCATTTATGAAGACTTTGCCTGAAACCTTGGAACTTGTTACATTTATA